CATAAAATAAAAATAATAAATAAAATATTAAAAAATAAAAATAAAAACAAGTATCTATAAAAAGAAAAGTTTGGGACTGCACAGATGGCTCAGCGGCTAAGCGCACTGACTGCTCTTATAGAGGACTCAGGTTCGATTCCCAGCACTCACATGGCGGCTAAGAACAGTCCATAACTCCAGTTCCAGGGGATCTGATGCCCTCTTCTGACTTCCGCAGGCATTGCACAACATGCATGCAATTACATGCATGTGGGCATAACACTCATATATATATAAAATAAAAATAAATAAATAAAATAAAGAGCACTGGCCGCTCTTGTGGAAGACCCAGGTTCAGTTCCCAGCACCCACATGGAAACTCACAACTGTCAGTAACTCCGGTTCCAGATTCAATGCCCTCTTCTGGTCTCCACAGGCATTGCATACGTGTAGTTCACTTACATACATGTAGGTGGAACACTCATATACATAAAAATAATTTTTTTTTAATTCTTTTAAGTCAGGTGTGGTGGCACCTTTAGTCCCAGCACTCGGGAGGCAGAGGCAAGCGATCTCTGTGAGTTCAAGGCCAGCCTGGTCTACATAGTGAGTGCCAGGACAGCTGGTGCTACAAGGAGACCCTGTTTCAGAAAGACCAAAAATAAAAGTCTTAAAATTAGGGTTGAAACCCTAGCATGGTGCTGCACACCTTTAATCTCAGTACTCAGGAGGCAGAGACAGGCAGATCTCTGTGAGATCAAGTCCAGCGTGGTCTTTCTGAGACAGGGTCTCCTTGTAGCCCCAGCTGTCCTGGAACTCACTATGTAGACCAGGCTGGCCTTGAACTCACAGAAATCCACCTGCCTCTGCCTCCCGAGTGCTGGGTTATTTATTATTATTTTATGTGTATGAGTGTTATGCCTGAGCCATCTCTCCAGCCCCATAAATAAAATATTTTTAACAAAAAAAAGAGTTACAAACAGGCAGGCCTGGTTGCCCCTTGCAGAATCCTGACAGGGTTACACATAGTAGATATTCAACTTCGAGAAGAGATCTAAGGGATAGCCCAATAACCAAATGGTTACTGAGCAAGGGCAGGGAAGGTCTGGGAACAGTGTCAGGCAAGGGGCAGGGAGAGTGGCAATCTGTGAGAGGACTTCGTATTCTCTGCATAAATGGCACCACAGGGAGGGCTGAAGGGCTAAGATGGTAGGAGGCACAGCCACATGAGAGTTTTGGCAGAGGCAGTCATGGGCACAGTCATGAAAGACGTCTCTAGTCAGCCAAGGAAGAACGACCATGTGCTTGGTATGGGCCCCCAAAACACAAGGGACAAGGACCTGGGACATGCAGGGGTCAAGGGGACCCCAAAGGCCAGCAGGACTCCATGGAGGTATCTAACCTAGATCCAGGGCTCTCAGGCTCATGCAGGAAAGGACGGGGGGGGGGGGCATAGTGACCCTAGGGCACGTCTCACCATGCAGGAAAGGACGGGGGAGGGGGGGGCATTGTGACCCTAGGGCACGTCTCACCACCCTACCTGCCGGACTCTGGCCCCTGCCGAGGCAGTTTCCTTTCCTTGGGGACCCTTCCTAGCACCATCCTGTAAATGGTGCTCAGCACCCCTTGAGCAAGAGAGTCTTGACTCTATACCCCAGACTGGCCTAGAACTCACTACATAGCCCAGGCTGGCCTGAAACTCGTGGCAATCCCCCTGCCTCAGCCTCCTGAGTGTTGGGATTACAATCTGGAGTCATCATAGCCAGATATTCTTCCCTCCTGGTCACCAGATTAGATTCCATGGCTCAAGAGTCCAGCCTTGGGGCGGGCGGGGGAGGGGTTGTAACCTGGAGCCACTGGCAGAGCTCTCTCCTCCACACCTGCCCACTCCAGCTTTCCAATCTCCTCCCACAGCCTCTGTGGACACTTCAATGCAATGGTAGACATTGAATATAGCTTCTGAGGCCAAGGCTCTCCACCCCAAGGCACACTGTAAACCAGAAACAGTAAAGCTCACTTGAGATCACACAGGTGACTGAGGCAGCCAGGATCTGAGTGGCAGCTTGCTTACTCTGGTGGTCCTGACTCTGACCACTGCCCACAGGAGCCCAAAGAGCATTCCTTCCCCCTCAGAGGGCAGTGAGGGCAGGCTGCTCACCTGGTGAAGCAGGGAGCCTCAGGGATCCTAAGTCCAGAACCTGGGAGGTCAACACAATAGGTCCTGCATGCTACAGACACACAGGCAAGTCTGCCGTTGTGGGCTGGCCTCGCCCACCCCCGCTGCATTTTCCCATCTACCTAGGGCACTGACTCAGCCCCAGGTGCAGCAGTGTCAGAAGTCTTGGGGACCATGGAAACTGAGATACCCGCCCTCCAGCTTCCTGATGAGAGTGTAGGGTAGGAGCTCTCTCAGAGCCTAGGCCTCAACTGGGACATGGGCATTACAGAGCCTGTCACAGCACTGGGCAGGACACCGACAGCATGGCCCACACAGCCCAGAGCTCCATAAATGCTACTCTTGATGGGACCAGTGCTCAGCTTGTAATGACAGCAGCAAGGGAATGTGGAACTATCAGCAGGTACAACTTTTTGCTTTTTTTTTTGAGACCGGGTCTCCCTGTATCCCCAGCTGGCCTGGAATTTGCTATGTAGACCAGCCTGGCCTCAGTCTCACAGAGATTGACAGACTCTGTCTCCAGAGTGCTGAGGTTAAAGGCGTGTGCTACCACACCCAGTGCAGGTACAACTTTTATAGCTTGCAAAAAAAAAAAAAAAGATTTTTTTTCTCCCCTAAAGAATCAGACTAATGGACCTGGAGAGATGGCGCAACTGTTAAGAGCACTTGTTGATCTTGCAGACAACCCAGGTTCAGTTCCCAGCATCCACATGGCAGCTAACAACTGTCTATAACTCCAGTTCCAGGGAATCCAATGCTCTCTTCTGTCCTCCTCGGGCATTGCATACACAAGTGCACCTACATACATGCAGGCAAAACACTCATACACATAAAATAAAAATTAAAATATTTTTTTAAAAAGAATCAGACAAAAGGAGTTAGGGAGTGAGGAGCCGTGTACACACAGGTTCCCCCATCACTACCCTGACCTAAGTTGAGTGCTCTATCTCTGATCCCCTCTGTCAGCAATGTCTCCAGAATAGGAGGTGAGCTCACCTCACAAAGAAAGGGCTACCTCTTCTCTGCCCCAACACACAGACCTAGGTTGTT